TCAAATCCAGCCTCAGATACTTATTAGCTGGGTGACCCTGGGCAAGTCATTTAACCCTGTTCACCTCAGTTTCCTCATCTGTAAAATGATCTGGAGAAGGAAATGGCAAACCACTCCAATATCTTAGCCAGGAAAACACCAAATGGGGTCACAAAGAGTCGGACATGACTGAAAAACAACATTATGATCCCCATTTTGCAGATGGGATAAGTGAGACTGAGAAAAGTGGTTAATCCACGGCCACAAAGCCAATAAGTGAACCCAGATGTTCTGATTTCAGGGCCCCCACTACTCCCCACTGAGTCCAACCTAAAGAGTCCCATCCACACTGACCTTTCCAATTCTGAGCCTCTCAAAGCATCACACACCCATCCACCGCCAAATGACCAGACCTTTTGACACTAGGTTGCTTTCTTCCTCGACAATTTTGTTTTTTTATTTTGGTGAGGCAATTGGGGTTAAGCGACTTGCCCAGGGTCACACAGCTAGTGAGTGTTATGTGTCCGAGGCCAGATTTAAACTCAGGTCCTCCTGACTCCAGGGCCAGTGCTCTATCCACTGTGCCACCTAGCCACCCGTTCCTCAACATCTTTTATGGAAGCCTTTTATTCACTGCTGGTATCCCATATAAGCTGAAATATCACCAGTTACCTTGGATATGCCTTGTCTCCCCAGTCAGAGTGTAAGCTCCTTGAGGTCAAGGAAGACAGTTTCATAGGTTTCTTTTCTCTTGCCCACAAGGGTAGGCACCCAGTAAATACTCAATCATCACATAATGAATCTAACCTAATTGTTTTAGTCCTAGCACCAATGTGGCAGGGCCCAAGTCCCCACAGGTCACCTTCGTCCAGTTAATCCCTTTATGACTTGTGAATATTCATGGGTCTGCCCTTAAAAAAAAAAAACTGAACAAAATGAGCAGTAGTGGAAAGTTTTTAGAATTCAGGATGAGTCAGGGAACACTGGTTCAAATCCTGCCTGAGTGACCTTGAACAAGTCATTTCCTTGGGCCTCAGTTTCCTCCTCATGTATATAATGAAGGATTGAACTAAATGGCCCTGTGAGGTCCCTTCCCCCTCTAGATCTATGGTCCTAGTATATGTATGGACTGGAATAGATGGTCCCTACCAATCCCAAGCTCCTCCAATTGCGTGATGGAAAAACTCATTCATGTTTATTCCAGATAATCATAAGTCACGGGAGGTCCATGGCGCAGGAAGGGGCAAAGAGAAAAGACCAAAGACCAGACAAATATGACGAAAAGATGCCAGGTCACAGCAATTCAGTTCAGCTTGTTGCATTTTTTATTTAACCTTTAAAAAAAAATCAGTATCCAATGAAAAATCCACTTTGGGTGAGTTCTCCAGCTTTTTCCCATGTGCTGCTAAGCTCAAACAAATCAATGAGAGAAAACCAATTTTGGCTGGAGCCTTCAAACGCACTGCACCAATTAAATTACACCAAATATATTATTATACCTTTGAAATGGCTTTCAGACCAATAAATAAAAAAAAGACAAATTCAAATAAAAAAGTCAACTTTGTATTACAAAAAAAAAAAATAGAAATTAAATAAAAATCACAACACTGAGTGAAACAACTATGTGCAGTCAAGTTTTTCCTTTCTCTCTCTCTCTCTCTCTGTGTCTTCCTTTTTTAATCTTCTAGGAATGATAACATGCCAGTAAAATCCCTACAGAACATTTCCAGTCTGACGATAAGCAATCGATCATTCATTCACATTTGTACTTGAGAGAGCAGGCTTGGGCAACACCCCACCCCCCATTTCAACCTGAAAAAAAAAAAATGCTTCTGATACCTGTACCGGCTACTCGAACGTGGAGGCCAATTCAGGTAACCACACTTTGATTTCTACCTGGCACCTCAAAGCACTTTCTGAACATTCAGGAAGATTTGTAGCTCACCCATGAAGGGAAAGATTGGTGTACCCACTGAGCAGGTGTGTAAACGGAGACACCAAGGGGTCTTGCCTAAGAGGGATGGACACCTGGAACACCAGGTTCCCTTTCCAGCATCATTAATTCCATGGAAATTAATTAAACATCACTCCTGTGAGGACTGGTTAACAGGCAGGCTAGAATCCAGCAGAAAAGTTGGCTGAAGGTGTTCCCTGCTATTTCAAGCTTCCCTGTAAAAGAATCCATGAACTTTTCTGCTCTGGAGTCAGAGGTCCTGGGTTCAGAATCCCACCTCTGATAACTATGTTTGTGACCTTGGGAAAGTCACAACCTCCCTGGGCCTCAATTTCCTCACCTGGAAATATGGAGGTCGCAGTAGATGGCCTCCTGAGGTCCCTTTGGCTCTAGGTCAATGACCCATCCTACGACGTATTACTTGTGTGATTTTGAACGCGTCTTTGAAACTTCTGAGGCCTCGGTTTCTACCTCTGTAAAATGAGGGGTTGGGCGAGATGGCCTCTGAGGACCCTTCCAGCTCTAAAGTCGTCATCTTCGCCCACAGAATGGAATACAGAAGTACACTGGGGGTGGAGCAGTGGGGGAGTTCTGAGAGGGGAAGAGTACTTGGGAGCAGGATGGTACTTCAGTGGGTTTGGAAATACACTACAAAGTCCTTTGAAGGGTATTAACAGTTGTTTGTCAAAGAAAAAAAGGGGGTGCTGAAAGCGATGGGCATGTCTGCAGCCTTTGTACCTGAATCATACAGGGGGCTTCCTGACCAGGCCAGTGAGGGTCCACGGACAGCTGGCAGCAAAGAAGCCTTGCTCTATCATTTGTTGAGTTTGTGATGTACAAAATGGCACCAGGGGCGAGCTACCCAGGGCCTTTGCCCCGGGGCATGCATTTTTTAGGAAACATCCATTTTCCTAGTTAAGTGCATGTGGGAGGAAGGGAGATTAAATCAAACAGGGGACAACAGCATTAGGATGTAGTAGAAAGAGCATAGATCGATTGGCAGTCCTGAGAACCGGGTTCAAGTCTTGCCTCTCTGGCTAACCCTCTGGGGGACATTGAGAAAGGCACTTCACCTCTTGACTCTTCATTTCTTTGATATGTATGATCCCCAGCATCCTTTCTGGTTCTAACACTCCTACAGGGCTGAGCCCCTCCTCTGACCCCATTTGCTGGCCTAAGGAATCCAGGGGATGATCCCCTAAAAGGCAGCGATTATTTTTTGCTTTTTTTTCCTGTGCCTCCCCATTGCCTAGCACAGTGCCTGGCATGCAGTAAGTGCTTAATAAAGGTTGACTGGTTGACTGGCAGTGCCCTCCTGGTGAGGAGACAGATGACTTCTGGATGGCATTCTTGAAGATCCAGAGTCTCTACGGTGCATTCTCTCCCATCTTCCTAAGCCTTCTTCTCAAACAGCTCCGTCCTCCCTCATTTCTCTGCCTCTCAGAGCCTGGCAGTTTTCAATCAATAATTCCACTTTGTCCAGGCCTGGGGACTCTGCCATACCCTCCCAACTACACTAACCCACTAGGAGGATGAAGAATCATTATGCGTTCTACCTCGGTGTTTCTGAGTCCAACCGTCTAGCCTTCTCCCATTTAGGGGGCCTGAATCCCAACCATTCCTCCAACTGTACCACGCCAACTCTAGACTTGGGAGTCAGAAAGATCAAGGCTCCAACCCTGCCCCAGACACTGAGTAGTTGTATGACCCTGGGCAAATGGCTTAACACGTCTGGGCCTTGGGTCCTCATCTGTAAAATGAGGGGATTGGACTCAGTGGCCTTTCAAGTTCCTTCTATCACTAATCTATGACATTATGATCCATTTCAGTTTCCATTTAAAAACCCAGAATTTTGATACATCCTCCAAGCCCTTACGACCTCATGAGTTACATTCTGTTTGGAGGGATGCACATTCCAATGGCCTCTCCATTCCTTGACCCAATGCTACATCCTTCCCATATGCTAACATTCTAGTAGCAACCTACTCTAACCCTCCAAGTCCTGTGCCTACCCCCTCTAGCAAGAGGGCACTGCTTGCAGACAATGAATACAGCTAAGTCGAACCCGTTAACCCTTTGGAGACTACAGACATGAAAGAGGATGTCCGTCGTAAGGCTGGGAGCCTGAGAGGCAGCATTCCAGTTAATTCTTCAATCTTGGAAAAGATTGATGTCTGTTCCGGGGCGAGGGGAGGGGTCAGCTCTTGGTCAGCTAGGCTAAAATCCAAGAGACTGCTCCCCCCAGCTTTATGTCTGTTGCTAATTTTACTCTCCTGCTCTCATGGAGCCTCTTCTCAGAGCTAAGGGCAAGTAGTACACCCATAAGACTTTACCCTCTCTTCTTCCCCCACCTCCCGCTGCCCACCAGGTAGATATGAGAATGGGACAGCGAGATGGATAAAAAGGTGGTGGACAGCAAGAGGGGATGGAGCGTATCCTTACGGGGCCAGGAACTAAGTACTGGTTATGTGTCTGTCCCACCAGCACCCAAAACATTCTTGCGACCAAGCTCAAGCCTTCCATTTGGGGTGACTGTCAGGGCATTTACCCAATGGTATCCTAATGGCCCAAGTTACAGATGTCCCTACTCCCTAAGAGAGTGAACTCAGCTCATGGAACAGGGCTTGGGAGGGATTGGAAAGCTCAGTGGTTGGTCAGAGTGCCCCACTCCCACAAACTCCTGGGAGAAAAGAGTAATTGGTAGCCTCACTCGGGACTGACTCTCCCCAGTTTCGCTTTCTCTCCCACCGCCCTGCCCAGCAGCAGTCTGGATGAGATTTCTACAGAGAGAGACCTCCCAGACCCTCAGCCAGCTTCTGTGTCCTCAGAACAGATGGCATCAGGTATATGCTAATTAGGCAAATGGGCAGATGGGCAGGGCTTCCCTTTCATGCGCCCTGTGCAGCTTGGCAGGCTCACAGGATTTGGCAAAGGAAGACCCCTCCAACAGGTTTTGAGATCCTTGCTGTCTGTCAGTAAACCAGTCACCAGGCAGGCACGACCACCAGCACAAAGGTGATCCATTGCTCCCCTCTGCCCCCACCCTCCCCTCCCCATGCTCCCCGCCCACCCGGTCGGTCGCTAATTAAGTTTGTTGCAGATTTCCAGGGCTTTCTTATACACCTGAGTCACATCGTCCATGTCCGCGAGCAGGGAGAAACTGTTGTCCACCAGCCGGTTTCGGTACCGTTTCAGGTACTGAGGCCGCGGCCGGTTCTGAAGCCCCTCAAAATCCTGGATCTGGAGGAAGTTTTCGGCAGAGACGCAGCTCCGGATCCGCTGCTGGGCTGGCCGGCTCTCCTGCAGGTCTAGCAGGTCAAAGGAGTCACTGGACAGGATGCTGTCGTCACTGATGACGCTGGACGGGCGGCTGTAACTCCGAGAGAGCCCTTCCCCCGGCACGCCCCGCTCCTCCGTGGACTCCAGCATGGGCACCCCAGGACTGACGAGCGTGGAGTCCGTGCTACTCGCCGAGTACTTGCTACTGTGTTTCAAGATGCCCTTCCTCCGGTAAGAGAGATTATGGGGGCCCCCCCGGTCTGAGTCGGGGACACCGGGGGAAGGGAGGTTGCCGCCTTCAGCAGCGTCGTTGCTGTCCAACAATTCAGAGGACTCGCTCCGTTCTGGAGAGGAGTAGTAACCAGATTCCCTCTGCTGGGTCTTCTTCAAGATGCCTTTTTTGGGCATCGTCGCCGACTGCTTGGGTCCAAGTTTGCCCGCTGCCTCAGTCTCCCCCGGGCTCTTCAGGGGTGTCCCGGCCCTACACAGCTCCTGCTCCATTTTAAAACCAGAGGGCAGCGTGGGGCTGACCACCCCTTCGATGAAGCCTGCACTGTGAGACCGGTGCTCACTGTTGCTTCTCTTTTTCAAGATGCTCTTGGGCCTCTTCGAGCCGGACTTGCACGGGCTCTCCACTGACCCGTCCTGGCCCGACTGGGCAATGTCATTCTCCTTCTTAGACTTCTTCAGGGACCTCTGCCTCTCCAGCGTGCTTTCCGAGGCCCCCGGTTTGGCCGAGCTTTTGACTTTGGTCTCCCCCTCCACCTGTAGGCCGGTGGAGCGGTGGTGCCAGTCAATGATCCGGGCCAGCAGCGGGGACTCAGAATCCCTCAGCGCGTCACAGTCACATACGCTGCTCCTGCAGCCCCAGTTGACCCACCAGTGGTTGGCGATGTCCTCGATGGTGGCGCGGCGTTCGGGGTTCACCATCAGCATCCACCTGATGAGTCCTCGGGCATCTAAAGCCGAGAACAGAAAAGTCTCCAGTTAACAAAGCTGCAAATTTGACTCTAATGAAGGAGAGCTGGACGGGCAGGTAAGTGGCGCAGTGGATAGAGCTCCGGCCTCGGAGTCAGGAGGACCTGAGTTCAAATCTGGCCTCACTCAGACACTTTACACTTACTAGCTGTGTGACCCTGGGCAAGTCACTTAAGCTGATTGCCTCACCAAAAAGCAAAAAAAAAAAGAATGAGAGCTGGGAGGGTAGATGATTCAAGAGGGCACCATGAAGAAAGGCCTTAATAGTTGCTGTGGGTGAACCTATGCTATTGGGTCTGTGGTGGGACAGCTTCAGAATTCATATTGAAGGCTCATGATCCCCTCAGAGCAACACGCTAGTGGTTTGTCACACAGCTGAATGTTTTTCCATATTAGTGAAGGAATGTCGTAGAGCTTTGGACCCTTCCATCAACTCTAGTCATTTTTTTAATGGAAAGGGGGGAAAAAAGGACAGAGGAAGAAAACAGTTCTTAACCTAGAACAGGCCTCTCAGATTCTTCCAATGGATATTATCCTCATTCCCACCCCCCCAAAAAAGGGGAAACACAGATTACCAAATATTACTTGGGAGGAACACTTCCACCAACACACACATATGTATGTATGTCTCTGTGTGTAAACATATATACATACATATATACGTGTGTGTGTGTATACATACACCCACACTCTATCATTCGGAAATGACTGGCGAAGTCTTCCCTGGAGAAATAAGGCTGGGGCTTGGCCAAAACATACCCACGTATCAGAGCAGGGAGGCTGAGGTCAGCGGACACCTGCACAGTCGCGAGGACTTTCAGGTTCTGACCTACTCCAGGAAGGCAACAGCCAATCGGGGACATGTTGAGGCTAAAGGAGGTCTTTGGTTGGACTGACTCATGATTTCCCATTCCATTAGCAGTCAGATCACCTTTCCCATGTTTTGTTTACATAGGGGGTGGGGGTAGAATGTGCAAGGACCTCTCAGTGAGGAAATTCCTATTCCAATGCAGATTGCCTGGGTGACCTTAGATAAAGCACTTAACCTCTGTAGGCCTTAATTTCCTCAACTGTGAAATAAAGCAATTAGACCAGGTCAGTGGTGCCAAAGTGGGAGGTCACATACTGACCTAGAAAACTACATATTAACATTATCTTCTTTCTATTTTATTGGGGGGGGGGGGATGGTAATCTAGGTGGTATAAGGGATAGAGCACCAGGCCTGGAGTGAGAAAGACCTGAGATCAAATCCAACCTCAGACACTTATTAGCTATATAGCCCTGGGCAAGTCACTTTACTCTGTTTGCCTCAGTTTCCTCATCTGGGAAATGAACTGGAGAAGGAAATGACAAACTACTCCAGTATCCCTGCCAAGAAAACCCCAAATGGAGTCACAAAGAGTCAGACACGATGACACACACACACACACACACACACACACACACACACACACACTTTATTTTTATCTATCTTGTTAAATATTTCCCAACTATATTTTACTCTGGCTCAGGTCACAAGGAGCTAGGAGTATTTGACCCCTCAGGACTGGGTGACCTCTGAGATTCTATAACATTTTCTGTCTTAAAGAGATGCCTGGAGCATGGAGACATTAAGTGACTGGCTCAGAATCACCCAGACAGCGAGAGTCAGGGGCAGTCCTTGAACCAAGGCCCTTTCGACGCCAAGGCCAGCTCCTAGTGCCATGCTGTTTCTCCATCCCCTCTGTTTTTCATATAACCCACCTCCTATCTCAGGGTCAGGCAACAGAACTGATCTGTATCAGGGCCTGCTCTCAAATTACAGCTTGTCTGCATTAACCCACTGGGAAACCTCTGCTCTCCCAGACCTAGCTGGAAAGACCCTACTGGAACTTCCTGGAGGCCAGACAAACCTACCATATATCTTGGTTTATGGGGCTGACCTTTTGAGGTTAAAGGGGGGGAAAAATAGTTCCCAAATTGGGGTCAGTTTATAGGCCAAATATTCCAGAAGCTAAGTCCCTGCCTGACCCCTGCCTCCACCCCTCCCAGCAGCCTCAGGCCTACAAAGTTGCTCCCAGGCTACCTTAAGTTAAGCGTTGCTCCTGGGGCTACATCCTCCACCTATTAGCCACAGCTGGATAATAAAGGAAGAGGTTTCTCTATAGGGGGACCAGAATTTTGATCCAAACAAATTCAGGCCAGATTATATGTCAGGTGAATTTAGACTGAGATATGTGATAGCTTCAACCAAACAAAAGTTATTTCAAAAGGAGAGGACAAGGGGGAAAGTTGATTGGTTAGAACAGCAGGGGAGGGGGACTGCAGACATGGAGGGTTGAAAGTAGCATCACCAGCACAGGGAAGGCCCCAGCTGCTGTGACTTCAGCAGCCATCCTCAGAACCATTATCCCTTGGCCTAGCCCCTATTTCTGTGGTTATTTCAGAGCAACGGGGAGCAGGATGAGGTGTAGAGGGCTCCTGAAGAAGGAGATGACATTGGGAAATTTCCCAAGAGATTTCTGTAGGGCTCTTCTTGGGAGGCTGACTCACCCATCTTTCTCTGTAGGGTGTAGTGCTCTTTGTTAGGGGCTGGGGAGGGGGGACAATTGGGAGATCCGGAACCCCCTGATATACTGGCTGTAATAAAATGATGCCCAAAGTATCAGCTGGGCTTGGGAAGGCAGCGATCCTGAGTGCCGCCATCTTAGAGGCAATTCCACCAGCTCTGCTACCCACCTGAAGGCTGCGTGGGCTCCCGGTATTCACCGCTGCTGATCTGTCGGATGAGATTCTTGTGATCAAAGCCATCAAAGGGCATCGTCCCATAAACCAGAGTGTAAAGCAATACGCCCAGGGCCCAGCTGTCCACCTGGAGTGGAAGGGTGAGAAACAGAAGAGAAATAAAGGCCAAGCCCAGCAAAGTCTCCTTAGACCATGGGCTCTTACCTTTTTGTGCCATGGCCCCCTTTAGCAGTCTAGTGAAGCCCATGGACCCCACTTCAGAAGGTTTTTAAATATATCAAATACAGAGGATTATAAAAAAAAAATTAAACTTTAATAGCTTAAAATTTCACTAGACTTTTGGAATATCCTGTATATATTATTATATTGTATTATATTATATTATACACACACACACACACACACACACACACACATATAAAACATCCAAAATTTTTTTTCAAACCAATGAAAACGAGCTTTATTTCCAGCTCTTTGCTTCAACAAAAAGTGCTGTCAGTTGTATAGGAAAACTTTTTGTCATTGATTTTTTTTTGTCCTTTTCTACTTAATAGTATTTTATTTTTTCCAATTACATGTAAAGATAGTTATCAACATTCATCCAAATATTAAAAAAAAAAAAAAGGTTCATAGAGCCCAGGTTAAGAACCTCTGACCTAGACCATGAGCAGAGTCAAGAGGGCAGCGCCTCAACCCTATTTCCCCTTAAGCCCCCCAGGCTGCATTTAGCAACTGGCATGCAGTGACTGCCTGTGATTTGACAGATAATCTCCAAAGCATTACAGCTGAATGTCACAGGGGCATCCAGGAGGGAGGCCCTCCCTTCAGTGAGTGTGGAGCAATAATTAATAAGTAAACAAAAATTAGGCAGCTAGATTGGGCAACAGATAGAATGCAAGCCCTGGAGTCAGGAAGATTTGCATTCAAATACAGTTTCAGACAATTCCTAGCTAATGTGACCTTGGACAAGTCACAATCTCCATCTTCCTCAGTTTCCTCATCTGCAAAATGGGTATAATTATAGCACCGACCTCCCCCCCAGGATTGTTGTATCAATGTAATCATACTTATGAAGCACTTAGCACAGTGCCTGGCACATAGTAGGTGCTATGTAAATGCTAGCTATTATCATCATCATCAATAGGTATTGATTATATAGGTCCAGTACTTTTTACCTACTTAGCCTCAGTTTCCCCATCTATAAAATGGGAGATAATAACGGTACCTACCTTACAGGTTTGTTGTGAGACTCAGATGAAATAATATATGTAAAGTGCCTTGCAATCCACAAAGCCATTATGTAAATGCTAGCTATCATTATTACCATCATTCAGTGTCCTTACATGTATGCTTCTGGTTCGACAAGTGACTTGCCTAGGATCACAGAGCCAGCACGTATCAGAGGCAGGTCTCGAACCCATGTCTTTCTAACTCTCGGGCTGCCTATCTTTGGGGAATATGGCGGGTCCCAAAAGCTAAGGCTTAGTTTCCCTGGATGGCAGCATAGGAGCCAGGACTAGGGAGGTGGTTATGCCGCCATATTCTGCCCTAGTAATACTCCATAATAAGGAATACTATGTTCCTTTGTTAGGAACGGCATTGATAAGCTGGGGAGTGTGTTTAGATGGCAAACAGGATGGCGAAGGGACTCTAGGTCATGCCTTATGATGCCTAGGTGGACAAACAGTAAAAACAGAACTCACTTTGGAGTCAGAGCAGCACACATTTACTATCTACATGACCTTGGGCAAGCAATTCTGCCTCCCTGTGCCTCAGTTTCCTCATCTGTAAAATGAAAGGGGGGGAGTCTTCCCCTTTTTTGTATCATGGACCTCTCTGGGCAGTCTGGTGGTGGACACCAATGGACCCCTTCTTAGAATCACGCTTGTTACCCTCACTCATAATTGAAGAAATGCTCAATTTCAGACAGAGGTTAGTGAAAGTGACGACGTCAACGTTTGCCCATCTGAGTTCACAGACCCCCTGAAATCTATCCACTGACCCTAAGTTAAGGACTTCTAGCCTCGGAGGCCCCTTCTAGCTCTAATCCTTAGTCTATGCTTGATCTTTGGGGAATATGGCAGCCCACCACATGGCTTAGCCTGCCTCGGTAGAAGCACAGGAGTCACGAGGCAAAGAACAGAAACCCTAGGGAACATGCTGGCTATCTTCAAGTGTTGGAAAGGCCACCACATGGAGAGATCAGATTTTCTGTGTTTGGCCCTAGATGGCAGAGGTGGGAGTAACAGAGGCAAATTTAGGTTAGACTTCAGAGGAAAAACATCTCAATAATTTTGGCTGCCCAAAGGCAGAACTGGCTTCCTCCATATAGCTAGGGAGGTTCCTGGCACTGGAAGCCTTCAAGCAAAGGTTGGATGACCTCGTATAAATGGGACACCACTGGGATTGGAGTAGAGTGCCTTCGTGCTCAGGTCCTCCAAGGCCTTCAAGTCCAACCCTCTCACGTTACAGACGAACAAACAAAGACAGGTATGAAGTGACTCAGCCAAGGTCACACTCTTGGTGTCCTTTCTAATTCTGACATTCAGTGATCATGTGTTTATCCCTATTGCATTTCATCTTCTTAGCTTGAACTCAACACTCTAGACCATTGAGGGCCCTATTGCACTTCATCTTCTTAGCTTGAACTCAACACTCTAGACCACCGAGGGCCCTATTGCACTTCATCTTCTTAGCTTGAACTCAACACTCTAGACCATTGAGGTCCCTATTGCATTTCATCTTCTTAGCTTGAACTCAACATTCTAGACCATTGAGGTCTTTCTGGATCCTGACTTCATCCAAAATATCCCTCAGCTTTTGTCAACTGCAAATGTGATAAATCATGTCATCTAAGTCTCACATCAATCTATTTTTTTTTTTCATCAATCTGTTTAAAGAAGCCCTGAGACTCAGAAGGGGTTAGGGGAAAGAAGAACATGAGAAGAAAAAAATGTGTGTATATGGGTATTTCTCATTCATTAGCCACTGAAATCCATTTCTGTATTTAAATTCTACCCATCACACTAGCCACATCACTCACCTCAGGGCCTCGATACGGTCTTCCGTTGACAATTTCTGGGGATGCATAAAGGGGGCTCCCACAAAAAGTCTGCAGAAATTTATCCTTTTGATAGAGGTTGGAGAGACCAAAGTCAGCAATCTACAAAGAGAATCAAGACACCATTCTGCTCATTAATTCAATTCAGATCAACTCAGTTCACTGAGCATTCATTAAGCCCTGTGGTGCCAACCGCCTAGTTCACTGGAATTCTGGCCAATGTTTCTGACGTCTACACCTTTTTTCCAACAAACACTGGCTATCTGTTGGGAGAGGCTCCTTTCCCACAGGAGCACTCCTCCATTAGAGCACTGGGCTACATTTCCATTTTCTCTCCAGCATTCTTTCTCCAGAAGAAGGTCCATTTGACTTAGGGAAAGAGAAAATTACAGTAGGAGATCAGCACATGCACACAACAGAGATGTCCATCTTTGTGTATGTTTAGATGGAGTCACTCACTGGAAATGACTTTTAAAAACCCCATGACCAAAAGGTTGGCTTATCTGCCTAAGAATAATCATAGTAAGTGCATAATGACACATGATATATAATCACTTAATTCAACACCTGTCTAGTAGAGTGAATAATAATAATAATAATCGGTCCCCATTTACATTGTTAATGAGGTTTTTAATTTACTTTAAATATTGTTTCGTATCAACTCCCATTACAGATAATTGGGTAAAGTTTATAGCAGAGGTTCTTAACCTGGGATGTATGACCTTGGTGGTGTGTGTATGTGTGCTTGTGTGTGTATGTTATGTATGTATATCTATATATATGTAGATATACATCTATATCTATCTATATGTGTGTGTGTGTGTATGTATATATGAATGGAATTAAAAACGCACCTCCCTCCCTTCATTGCAGAAGTGGGGAACTATAAATATAAAATATCACATATATGGGCAGATACAGTTAAAGGGTTTATTAGAAGGCCTTTCTGTTCCTCTTCCTTTTTTAGTGTCTATTATTGGGGTTAGATGGATGATAGGGGAGGAGAAGAGATACAGTTGGAAAGAATGTGATTTAACAACAAAAAGGGTCAATAAAAAGATGTTAAAATAAAAGTAGAGTGACCACAACTGGAAAGAAGTTGGGCACTTACTAGCTGTGTGACCCTGGGCAAGTCACTTAAACTCTCTAGGCTTCAGGTTCCTCATTTGCAAACAAAGAGGGTTGGGCCATTGACTTCAGGCCTAAATCTATGCTGCTACAAACTGGAAGGGCCCTTAGAAGTCAGAACCCAACCCCATCTCTTTTTACACATGAAGAAATGGTGGCCCAGAAAAAGCTAACTTACCCAGGGTCATATGGTTGGTAAGAGGGGATTCGAACCCAGGGCTTGTGATCTTCCAGGCACACGCCATGTTACTCTCCATAAACCTCTGAGTCACCTACAGTTTTGTTCCCTCTAAAAGTCATGCTTTTCCATTTAGAGATTCACCTTTCCAGTCACATCTGTCTTTGCCTTTCCTCACTTATCACAGTGTCTGGCATATAGTAAGTGCTTAATAAATGCCTCTTGACTTCCTTGAGAGCTGAGTTCAGAATCAAGAAAAACCTGGGTTCGAATCCCACCACATCTCCACACTCATTGGCTGCCTTGCTGCGTCGTCAGTATTCTCAAATTTTCTTTTCTGTAAAATGGGAATTATAATAGCACCTACGTAACAGGGTGAGGATGGGATGTGACAAAACACAGAAAGCATTCTGCAAACTTTAGAATGCCCTAGAAATGTAAATTATTGCTGTTATTACTACTGTGTTTTTTTTAATCGTTGCTATTAAAACGAAAAAGGGCCACTATTGACACAGTGCATAGAACACTGGGCTTGGAGTCAGGAAGACTCATCTCCATGAGTTCAAATCTGACTTCAGACACTTACTAGCTGTGTGACCCTGGGCAAGTCACCTAACCCTGTTTGCCTCAGTTTCCTCATCTATAAAAGGAGCCAGAGATGGAAATGGCAGACCGCTCCAGTATCTTTGCCAAGAAAACCTCAAATGGGGTCACGAAGAGTTGGACACGATTGAAACAACCCAACAACAAAACAATAATTAAGATGAGCAGTAGACTTCAGAAAAACCTGGGAAGACTTGTATGGACTGATGCTGAGTGAAGTGAGCAGAACCAGGAGAACGTTGTACACAGTAACAGCCATGTTGTGTGATGACTAATGTTGATAGACTTAACCCTTCTCAGCAATACAAGGATCTAAGACGTCTCCAAAGGCCTCGTGATGGAAAATGCTACCCACATCCAGAGAAAGAACTATGGAGTTTGAATAAAGATCGGAGCAGACAATTTGCTATTTTTTTTTCTCTTCTGTTGTATTTTGTTTCCTTTTTCTGGTGGTTCCTCCTGCTGGTTCTAATTCTTACCTACAACATCACTAATGTGAAAATATATTTAATAGGAATGTATATGTATAGTCTATAGCAGATTGTGCACCGTTTTGGGGAGGGAGGCAGGAGTGAAGGGGAGAAAAATTTTAAACTCAAAAGCTTATGGAAGTGACAGACGATAAATCAAAATAAATTAATAAAAAAAACCCAACAATTAAAAGGCAACATTTCTTTCCACCTGCCCAAGGATTCCTTTGTCTCTTAGAGAGCCATACTGCCTCCCCCTCTCACCCCTGCCCCAGCCCTCCTTCCTCTTTCTGTTCAGCTGACCTGGGGATCATCTGCTGGGCTGGATTCTCTAAGAACCGGCCTCCGTATTTTGAAACTTTTCTGTCTGAGCTGTTTTTGTGACAGTAAAAGTTAAAAACAATGGAAATGCTGAGGCTCGAAATTGGAGACTTTCTCCATGGCGCCCAAGCCTGACCTGAGACAGATTGAATCATGCTGAGTATCTGGAGGGAAGCCCCTCATGGGACCCCGCAGACTGGGTGACCTTTTTTACACTTCAGGCAAAATGTTAATTAGCCACATCTAGGGGTAAAATCCATAGCATCAGAGGATGCCGGATTAGAGCCAGATGGAAAGAAGGCATATGGCCTAATCCTCCCATTTTACAGATGACCACACTGAGACTCACAGACGTCAAATGACTTATCCAAGGTCACACGGGTGGTACCATGTGATTATTATTAAGGCACGAGGCAATATGGCCTAGTGGATGAAAACTTGGATTCAAAGCCTGCCTCGGACACTAGCTATGACCCTGAGCAAGTGGGGCAGAGAAGGTACCACACTAAATTAATAAAGGAAATTCCCTCACCTAGGAGTTCCCTATACCAATGAAATCACACGTCCTGTCCCTATCTCTCCTATTAAGGGCTAAGTGTCTGGGTGCGTAGAATCATAGATGTCGAGCTGAAAGGGACCTTAAGGGTTATCTCACCAAACTCCTTCATTTTATAGATGAAGAAACTGAGGAGAACCAAGCCAGATGACAGAGGGCCTTGAATGCCAGATTAAGGTTCTTGGCTGTGATTAAGAAGGCATCAATGAAGTCATTGGAGAAAGAGAACAGTGAGGAGACTGAAGCTCAGGAAAACATAAGTAGCCAAAGGTCAAAGTTAGGTGACGCCACAGCAAACGGGCACAGGGCCTGGAGTTAGAAGATCTGAGTTCAAATCCAGCCTCAGATACTAGCTGTGTGACCTTGGGCAAGTCACTTAACCTGCCTGCCTCAGTTTCCTCATCTATAAAATAAGGATAATAATTACACCTCCTTCACAACAACCCTGCAGTTGTGAGGATCAAATGAAATAGTATTTGTAAAGTACCTAGTGTAATATCTGGAACATTTCAGTTATTCATTTTTCCGTTATATCCAACTCTCCATGCCCCCATTTGGGGTTTTCTTAGCAAAGATACTGGCGCGGTTTGTCATTTCCTTCTCCAGCTCATTTTACAGATGAGGAAACTGAGGCAAACAGGGTGAAGTGACTTGCCCGGGGTCACACAGCTAGTAAATGCCTGAGGGCAGATTTGAACTCAGGTAGTAGATGAGTCTTCCTGATTCCAGGTCCAGCATTCCATCCACTTCACCACCCAGCTGCCCCTTGTCCAGCACACAGTAGATACTTAATGAATGCTTCTTCCCTACCCTACGCAATTCCCTTTCTATAGGCTACTGAGGAGTTTTGGCTAAGAAGTCTCCTTCCACTAGTCCAGAGTCTAACCAGGATGCTACAGATGCTTGAGTGCAAAGGCAGATGCTAGAATGAGCCTATTTTGTATAAAAAGAAAGAAAGAAAGAAAAGAAATTTCAATTGAATGAATGGAATGTCATTGAAAGCAGCTGGGGCATGATAGCTGTCTGAGGACACCATTCACCAAGCTCAGATTGCCCTGAATTACTGAAATTCCACTTTCTTATCAAGCCCCCCCGAGGAGCTGGCAGAAATCTGGTCTGAAGGCCCATGAAGCGTGCCCCATCAATCAGAGGGCTGATGGAGCTGGTCCAGGGGTCATTCTGAAGCACCGCAGTCGGTCTCTAAGATGCCGCTAAGCCCAGGGCTGAGGCCATGCCATGGGCTTCCCTCCCCAACATCTGTGGGTCCAGGCGCTGGATCTCACACAGACACAGACACATACACACACACACAGGTACTCCAGCACATATATACACGTGCATACACTCAGGCAGCGGCTTTCACACCAGGCAGGGCAATCTTGTTTTCACCGTGGCCTGCTCAGACTGAGAATATTGACATTAGGGCCAACTCCCATCCTCACAGACTGATGTTTATCCACTTCCCTCATTAAAGCTGTCAGAGCCCCTGACATACGATTAATAGAAATCAAGATGACTTCATGTCCTAGGCACTTCCGTGAAAATGTATGAATTCCAAAAAACTGAAACAAAACAAGAAAAAACAAAACTCCCTTGTCTGAGGAGTTGAAAAACTTGCATGTTAATTCCAGGCACCAACATAATAGGGAGAAGTATTCATGTTTATGACTGATGAGATCCAAGCTATTCATTCATTCAAACACTTATTATAGATCTGCTTTCTTTTTCTTTTTTTTTTTTAAAGGCAATTGGGGTTAAGTGACTTGCCCAGGGTCACACAGCTAGTAAGTGTCAAGTGTTTGGTCTGAGGCCAGATTTGAACTCAGGTCCTCCTGACTCCAGGGCC